GCACAGGTGGGGTCCCTAGGCCTGGCTGGTGATCAGTGCTGATCAATTTGGTCCTGCCAGCTGGGGGGAAGGATAGGGGAGGGACCATGGTCCTATCAGGGCCTGCCAGCTGGGAGAAAGAACAGGGCATGGAGGTTGGCTACAAGCCCCAAGAAGGGAGCTGGCCCTTAGCACTGTTGGGAAAGGGGCTAAGTTCACCACCACTCACCTCAGGTTTCTTGTCTCAGCCCAGAGGTCAGGAGAGAAGGCGATGTTCGCTGGAGAGAACATGGAAGGAATGGATGCTGAACACCAACACGGGTGCCCCACCACTGCACAGTTCCCTGTCTCCCCCCCTTCCTTTACCACCAACATGGTGGACAGGTGGTGGGAGGGTGGTGGGCCAATTAGGGCCTGCTGGCCTGGTGGGGAGGAGGAATGGTGTGTAGGTGATTGGCTGCGGGGCCTGAGGAGGGACCTGTCCCTCGCTCCCCCCCCACTCCTGGGAAAGGGGCTGTGTCTGTTGCCAAGCACCCTCAGTTCCCCATCTCAGCCGGAGGCTAAAGACCCTGGCAGGGTCGGGAGAGGAGGTGACAGGTTTTATTTTTTGTTTTTTTTTTAAAGTATATTTTATTGATTTTTTCAGAGAGGAGGATAGAGGGATAGAGAGCTAGAAACGTCGATGAGAGAGAAACATCGACCAGCTGCCTCTTGCACACTCCCTACCGGAGATGTGCCCACAAGCAATGTACATGCTCTTGACCGGAATCGAACCCGGGACCTTTCAGTCCGCAGACCAACACCCTACCTCTGAGCCAAACCAGTTTCGGTGAGGAGGTGACAGTTGTCAGGCAGGGTGCAAAAGGACCAGATGCCAGATGCCAATGCCGCTGGCTGGCCACAGGTGATTGTGGGTGTGCACTGATCTCCAGGGGGGCAGCTCCTATGTTGAGTGTCTGCCTCCTGGTGGTCAGTGCATGTCATAGTGACTGGTCGATGAGTTGTTCCTGTTGTTCTGGTCCTTCAGTCATAACAGTATCTACCCTGTTTCCCCGAAAATAAGACAGTGTCTTATATTAATTTTTTCTCCCAAAGTTGCACTAGATCTTATTTTCTGGGGATGTCTTATCTCTCCATGCACTAGGTCTTATTTTCGGAGGATGTCTTATTTTCGGGGAAACACGGTACATATAAAATCCCTTTCAGTCATAACGGTAGCTTAGGCTGTTATATATCTGTATATAAAATCCTAACATGCAAATAGACTGAATGGCGGAACAAGTGAACAAGTGAACAAGCTGACCACCAGGGGATGCATGCAAAACAGTGGGTGGTGGCCTCGGCAGGATGGTGGAGCAGGTGAGTGGGGGTGCCAGTTGCCGTCATTGAGGTGAGTCTTTGGTGGTTACTGAAAATTCTTTGCTCCTGCATGCTGTGGTCTCGCCTGGTGCACCATACTCATGGCTGGTGCTGGAGCCACTGCTCACACCTGCTGTCATCCCTGATTGCTCCTGAGGGCTTCTCCACCTCCCCTGCTCCTGAAAGGCGATTGGGGCAGCAGCCCCTGCCACTCGCACCCCCTGATGGTGCTGGTCCCACCCCAACCTGCTATTGGTGCTGGCCCCAATCGCTCCACACAATCACGGGGTGTGAGTGGGGCTGGTGCTTGTAAGCGCATGGGAGTGGTGGTGGCAGGATCAAGTCTGCTGGCACACAGGGGATTGGGGGCCATGGTGGGAGGGGCCAGGCAGGGGCACGGAGGTGGCCTGAGACCTGCCCCTGTGCCCACCACAGCCTCAGGGCCACAGTTCATTTCAAGGTGCACAAATACATGCACTGGGCCCCTATTATAGATATAAAAGCCTAAGTGACCATTCGACTGTTTAATTATTCACTATGATGTGCACTGACCACCAGGCATGGAAACATGGAACAGACTGATAATCTCAGAAGGAAAGGGGCAGTGGAGAGGGTGGGAAGAGATTAACCAAAGATCTTATATGCATACTAGAAGCCAGGTGGGGTCCCTTGGCCTGTCCTGAGAGAATTGGGCCAAAACTGACATCCCCCAAGGAGTACCAGATTGTGAGAGGGCTCAGGCCAGTCTGAGGGTCCCCACTAGTGCATGAATCCATGCACCGGGCCTCTAGTGATATAATAAACAACTCCTGCCAGAACTCCTAAAACTTTGTAATTTCCTAAGCAATAAAAGTGCAAGGGGCATCTTTTTGTTCTAAAGTTTAGTCTTTGACCATGGTTTCTGAGGCAGAGCTCCTAAATCCCTTGTATTTCCTGGGCAATTGAAGCACTTTTTGTCCTAATGAGGCAACTCTTGGTGGGCTTCTGGGTAGCCTCAGGATGTAGTTGGTCACCAGAAAGAACAAGCCTTGATTAGAAGCTTGAAACTTTCCACCTACCTTCTCTCTTCCAGGGAGGAGAGAGGAGAGATTGAGTTAACTATCAATTATCACCATGTCTATGTGATGAAATCTCTCTTGGGAAAGCTTCCAGGTTGGTGAATACATTCACCCCAACTTCATCGGCACAGAAGCTCCTGCACTCAGGACTTCACCCTATGTATCTCTTCAACTAGCTGTTTATCTATATCCTGTGTCATATCCTTTATTATATAAGAAACCAGTAAATGTGCTTCTCTGAATTCTGAAAGCAATTCTAAATTATTGAACCTGTCGAGGGGTTCATAAGAATCTTGATTTATAGGCTGGGACCGGTTTGGCTCAGTGGATAGAGCGTCAGCCTGTGGACTGAAATTCCGGTCAAGGGCATGTACCTTGGTTGCAGGCACATCCCCAGTAGGGGTTGTGCAAAGGCAGCTGATTGATGATTCTCGCTCATCGATGTTTCTAACTCTCTATCCCTCTCTCTTCCTCTCTGTGAAAAATCAATAAAATATATATATTTTTAAAAAGAATCTTGATTTATAGAAGCACAGGTGACAATCTGAGACTTGCAATTGCCATCTGAAGTGAGGACCGTCTAGTGGGACTTTGCCCTTAACTTGTGGGATCTGATGCTAAACTAACTCCAGGTAGATAATATCAGAACTGAATTAAATGACCATAGCTGTGTCAGAGAATTGGTTAGTATGGCAAAAACAAAACCTGTGTCTAGTCCCAGAAGTATTCTGTATAAGTAGTAAAGAATAAAAACAAGAGTCTTTCCTTATAGTATCCTTGGAGGGGTGGCTGGGGGGAGGGGTTAGGGTAGTTTTTAAGGGGACACATACCTGGATTCCTTTCCATTCTCCCATTTGAGGACATTTCCTGAAGAAAAGTTCAGCTGGTATTTAGACAGGGGAGAGCAAGGTAAGTGGATGAGGAAAATAGTAAATATTTACAACAGTGAGCAAAACAGACCCTACTCCTACCCGTGTAGCTTACGATCTAGTGGGAGAGACAGGCAAAAATAAATAACCACCTATCCGCATGTGTACTTACAATCTGCAATAGGTTTTATGAAGTAAAAGTATAAGCTAATAATGAGTTTATGTGTGGAGAAGAGGCTGATCCAACCTACAGTGTGAAGAGAGGCCACTCCTGAGGCGCATCTGAGCTTGAATTTGAAGGCTACTAGGAGTTAACTAGGTGACAATGAGGGCATGAGCTAAGAGCATTCTAGGAAGCAGGGACATCTGGTGCAAAGGTCCTGAGGCAGGAGGGAATAAGGGAAGTCTGAAGAACTGAAAAGCCACTAGGAGGATTGAAATGCCTGGGCGTGGACAAGAAGCCAAATTAAGAATTTGGGCTTTTATGTAAAACTAGGCACCTGTTGCAGGAATATTTAAGATTTCTGGCAGGCTTCCCTCCCACCACCCCCACCTCTCCTGCTGTGGCGGGCAGGGCGGGTGGGTGGGAAGGGGGCGCAACCCACCCCACCCACCTGACCAACAGAGCCCGCCGAGGCTGTGCACTTCGCTGCACACCTCATCCTGCCCCCCTTGCCCTGCCAATGCTTTCCCTCCCCCAGCCGCCATGCTTTCCACTTTCCCTCCCTCTTCCTTCTATGTTGTCTTCAGTCTTCCCTCCCTCCGTGTATGCAAATTAACCGCCATCTTTGTTTGGCTACTTTGCATACTCGCTCTGATTGGCTGGCGGGCATGGCTTGTGTAGCAGAGTGATGGTCAATATTATTCTATTATTAGGTTAGATAATTGAAGAATTTTCAACATAAAGTTCCATTATAATTTTGTCTCCTTTAAATAGATCTCTGGTTACAACACGAACAAAAGACCAATGAGCAGCCCTGTACGAGTCCAGAGTAAGGAATGGTAGTGGCTGGATTCAGTGGTAGCAGAGATGAACAAAGCCAGGGAGATGAATAAATAAGGTAGTTTGCGGGGAGTGCAGCTATCTCCCCTATAGCTGATGGCTGTATTGCTGAACTTCTTCGTTCACTTAACAAATACTTGATGCTCAGGTTCAAGTCCCAGCTTACTTAGACCCTAAACCTGTCTGCGCATCAAGGGGCAAGGCCTAAAAGAAGCAGAGCTCAGCTAGTGTGGGGGACAGCTCAGGGCTGGTTCTTCAGAAGTGAACCCCTCTGCGCGGCCCTACCATTAGAACACTCCCATTCCAGTCTCCTCCCCAGTCTGGACCAGAGTGCTTCCCAAACTTGCCCTCGAGGGAAGTGAACGAGTTAAGTTTCCGGCTCCCCTTACAGGAGTTTACTTGGAAAGTTTATATTGGGGAGTCTCCGACACAAATCTCGATGCTGTCAGGTAGTGAGGCCGCGGGGGATGGCTCCGACACCCAAGTCTGGCTTCCTAGTTCCTGGACGCGGAAGCACGGGAGCCAGGAAGAGGCCGGGGCGAGGAGAGCGGGCAGGAGGGCGGAGCGCACCTCTGTTACGTGCAGGATCACGCCCCCTGGGGAGGGCGCTGCGCCTGCGCCGGAACGGCGTCTCGCTTCCGGAAGTGGAGGGTCTGACAGGAGAGGGCCGCTGGGTCTCGGCGCCCGGAGGCAGAACCGCTCGCGAATCTCGCCCGTCAGCCCCCGACTACCATGTCAGCCTTCGACACCAACCCCTTTGCGGACCCAATGGACGTGAACCCCTTCCAGGTAGAGCTTCCAACACATCGCTCTCCCCAGGGCCGAAGGTCGCCACCCTGGCCTTTTTCGCCTGTGTCAGGAGACGTGGCGTGGGAGGGATGGGCCGACTGCCCAATGGGAGAGCGGGCTCTCAAGGCTGGCCTATCGTAGCGTGTGTGGGGCGGTACCAGCGGCAGGTGGACGGCGGAGGGGCTGGGCGCTGGTACCTGGGAAGAGGTGGGACCCTCTAACTTCCCAGGCAAAGCCCTCTGGCGGGCACTCCCGGGGAAAGGGACTGGAGCAGACGGAGAGACCCCGAGCGTCAGAGAGTAATGACTTCACTTACCACAAGTGCTTGGTGAAGTGTGACTACCCCATCCTGCAGTTTTGGTTTGAGGGAGAGAGATGGCAGCAGCGTAATGAAGAGGTGGAAGTCTTAGTGGGGTGGAGAAATGTGGAAATCCCAAGACCACCCTGTCTCCTTTCCTCCAACAGTCAAACTATCGTTTAAGGTATAAGAGGAATCCAGAGATTTGTTAGGAAAGAAAGCTAGGGAGATAGTGAGAAGCTGAAATATGGCCTTGATAAGAATTATACGTTTTTGCCCAGCCAGCGTTGCTCAGTGGTTGACCATTGGACCCAGCAGCAGGAGGTCTCTGGTTCCATTCTTTTTGGGGCACATGCCTGGCCTGCGGGCTTCATCCCCAGTGGGGGGTGGTCAGGAGGCAGCCCACCAATGTTGATGTTTCTCTCTCACCCATGTGTCTATCTCTCCCTCTCCCTCTCTCTAAAATCAATAAAAACATAAAATAATAAAAAAAACCACTTTGGCCAAGAGTCTGCTTGGGACTGAATTGGCTAGTAGGAGAGCCCAGATTAGTGGGGGAGAGAAGTGAGAGAGCTCTAAGGGTCTTCATGTTGGTCTGATGGACCTGTATGTGGTGGCAGGGTAGTTGAGATGCAGTGACCTATGAGTTGGCCTCACATTTTAATCAAACGATGGAGTAAGAAACAATCTTACTATTTAAAGCCAAAACTTTCCGCCTTTGAGCTAAGGGGCAGGGGCACTCTTTTTCCATAATGAAATGCTGGGACTCCTGTTAGTGCCCAAGCTCCTGTTTCATGTTTCATGTCTGCTTAAAACCAGTTCTAGGAAAAAACCAGTTGTTTGTGTTCACTGGTGATTTATGAGCCCTGAGGTTTCTGCTCTGTGAGGATGTCACCAGGCACATTAATTCATCCTGCTTGGACTTTGGTAGTTGTCAGCTTCCTGCAAGTGTAGGGGAAGTTTTTGGAGGTTTCCTTTCTGCAACTAACAGCATGAGCTTTCCCACCTTGAATCTCCTCAAAGCCAACCCAAAAGAGACTAGAACAGAATTAATATACATTGTTAGGAGACTGAACATTTTTGCTTCTTTCATGGTCTCAAGTTGACTTAGCCATTGGAAATCCTCAAGACAATTTGTTGATGTGTTCTTTGTAAAATCAGGGAATTCTTGTTGCTTAATGCTTCTTGACAGGAACTTTAGCAAGGACCTTGTCTCTTATGTAATTCAGTCATCTCTGTTAGTTGAGTAAAGAAAGAACATTTGGCCCTGTGAATAGAGCATCAGCCTGGGCACCAAAGGGTCGCACGTTCAATTTAGGGTCAGAGCTCATGCAGGAGGCAACCAATTGATTTATTTTAATCACATCACTGTTTCTTTTTTTCTTTTTTTTAATATATTTTATTGATTTTGTACAGAGAGGAAGGGAGAGAGATAGAGAGCTAGAAACATCGATGAGAGAGAGTCATCGATCAGCTGCCTCTTGCACACCCCCTACTGGGGATATGCCCGCAACCAAGGTACATGCCCTTGACCAGAATCGAACCCGGGTCCCGTCAGTCCCCAAGCCGACGCTCTATCCATTGAGCCAGACCGGTCTCGGCGACATCACTGTTTCTTTCTGTCTTTCCTTCTCTCTCCTACTGGCCATAAAAAAATCAATGGAAAAATATCCTCAGTGAGGATTAACAAAAAAAACAAGAGAGAGAGAGAGAGAGAGAAAGAGAGAATATTTGCATTTTATTTGCCAGTGTCTTCTGGTAAGTATTTTTGCTTTAATTACAAAATTGCTGTATAATACTGGAGTTTGAGTTTTCATAAAGATCTAGTAGGCTTTTGGTTTGTGTACTGTGTAATCATTTGCTTTATTTTTTTTTCTGTCAGAAACAATTAAAATGTCTGTTGATATCTGACAGAGGTGGTCAGCTTGTCCCCACTGCTAGTAGTGGCAAGATAGTTGGCCTGAGTTCAGCTTTGTATTAGTGCTAGCTGGAAAGTATTAAACTACATCTTCAGCCCCAGAAATGATTGTGCAAACTGTGGTAGAAGAAATATCTGAATTCAAGCAAGACAATCTGTCCATCCCAGAATATGGCAGGACAGGAAACAGCTGTGGGGCTGTGAATAGCAACATCTGGTTGGGGAATCCTTTGAAGGAAGAAGGGAGTTTGGTGGCTATGATTCTTCTCCATACTCTGGGCTGGTTTTCCCTCTTGGTGCACAGTTGTGTGGGGAGAAGGAGCTTGGAAGTGAGACCCCTAAGCTCCTTCTCCTGGAGCTGCTCTCCCTCTCTTTGTAAGGACAGCATCTGGTTCCTTGACTGCTAGACGGGGACAGTGGAGGGTGTGGCCTTTGGTGACAGGGTGTGAGCCCAGCTTCATTTACCCATGGTGTTGGCCTAGAACTGAGGAGGGAGGCGAAGGTCAGCCTTCAAACTAGAGTCCTTTTTTCTATCACTTGATGGTGGGTTGTGAAAATATATTTAGCATTCAGAGTTCATAGTGGATTATTAAAGCTGAGAATATCCTCAGAAGTCTGTTCAGTTTAGAGATGAGAAAACCAAGAACCCAATGAGAATGGGACATACCTGAGTCACTGGCTAATTTGCAGCTGGAAGAAGCCCAGACCTGGATCTGATTCCCAGAACAGTGCTGTTTTAAAGGTCTTTAAAGCTCAAATATTGTCTTACACTGCTCTGGGGTTATTTAGGCCAGCCAGGAAAAACCTATTATGTCATCACCATTACCACCATTCTTAAAATGAGAGTACTGCCGGCTGGTGTGGTTCAGTGGTTGAGTGTTGACCCATGAACCAATAGTTCCCAGGTTCGATTACCTGTCATGTGCCCTGCCTGGGTTTTGGGCTCAATCACCAATAGGGGGCATGCAGGAGGCAGCCGATTGCTGTTTCTCATCGATGTTTCTATCTCTCTATTCCTTCCCTTCCTCTCTAAAATCAATTAAAATTTTTTTTACAAAATGAGAGTACTGATAGGGGTGAAAATAACAAATTAGCATTAGCAAGGCTATTTTTTTTCCTCCAGTGTGTGGGGCTGGAATAATTGCCTTATGCTTTTTAAGATAGTACTTTTAAAAAAAATATTTGAAAATAGATTTCAGAGAAGGGAGAGTGAGAGAGAGATAGAAACATTAATGATGAGAGAGAATCATTGATCAGCCATCTCCTGCACTCCCCACATTGAGCTGGCATTGAACTGTGACTTCTTGGTTCATAGGTTGACGCTCAACCATGTCAGCTGAGCAAGACAGTACTTTTAAAGTAGTATATGTTCTGAGTAATAAGTTTTTGGGAATCACTCCATATTCCTATTTTACTTGAAGATTGATAAGGCTTGTTAATTTGTTAAAGGCTCTGAAAAATCCTCAACTTTAAGCCAACATTTCTTAAAGTTATTAAACCATGGAATCCTTTTTCTGCTAACTTTTGTAATATCTCATGAAACTTCCAGTTCTCCTTTAAGTTGACTTTCTTTTTCTTTTCTTTTTTTTTTCTTTTTTTTTTTTTTAAATATTTTATTGATTTTTTACAGAGAGGAAGGGAGAGAGATAGAGCCAGAAACGTCGATGAGAGAGAAACATCGACCAGTTGCCTCTTGCACACCCCCTACTGGGGATGTGCCCACAACCAATGTACATGCCCTTGACCGGAATCGAACCCAGGACCTTTCAGTCTGCAGACCGATGCTCTACCACTGAGCCAAACCGGTTTCGGCTAAGTTGACTTTCTTACCTGTGTGTGTGTGTGTGTGTGTGTGTGTGTGTGTGTGTGTGTATATATATATATATATATATATACACACACACATATATATTTTCATTCATTGTTTGGCTGCCTCCTGCACATCCCCTACTGAAGATCAAGATCACAACCTGGGCATGTGCCCTGACTGGGAATCAATCCTTGACTTCCTGGTTCATAGGTCGATGCTCAACCACTGAACCATGCTGGCCAGACCTTACCCATGTTCTTTATCCACCCTCTACTCCCATCCCTGCCCCACACTGTGGGTGTGGCCTTTTATGACTTCTTCCTTGTGCATGGTATAGTTATAATTGGAATTATTAGAAAACTTCCTGCAAAGTAAGAGCCATGAAAGGAAAGTTGTCACAAGAGTGCAGCTGAGGGTTTACTAAACTTGTGGGAGGAAGCAGGAAACTGCAAGCTAAGTGTTGCTGATTTCACAACCTCCAGTGGCACTCAGTAACCCCTCTGCTTTGTACTCTCTGGAGATGCTGGTCCTGCTTTGGACTGTTTCCAGTGTATCTGCTCCTTAAAGTTTCTCAGTCTTGTCTTGGTAATGGGAGGTAAGGGGCTAAAAAGATAGGCAGTGTACTGTTCATTTGATTTTTCAGCAGTCCACTAACAAGCAGGTCACTCAGGCACATGCCAGCGGTGCTTTCCTCCTTGGTATTTCGGCCAGGCTACCCTGGTGGCCCGCATTGATATGAAGGAGGGGAGTGGACCAGCTGGTGTTACTCAATAGAGAGAGCCTTTCGGTCTTCATGAGTTTCCAAATGATACAATTTATTGCTTTCACATGTTGCCTTTTTTTTTTTTAATAATTTTTTATTGTTCATATTATTACAAATGTTCCTTCCCTCCCCACCCTCCATTGCTCTCCTCCACCAGATTCCCATCCCACTCTCTGCCCTTTCCCCACCCCCCATTGTCCTCATCCATAGG